AAATAAGGAGTAATTCCAGTGATTTGCATGGTGTTAACTTGCGTGTACACTTGGCATAAAGAAGCAGAATCTGATCCCATGCTTTCTGCAAAGTGCTATAAAAGATGAAAGCTTTAAGACAACAATTGCACTGTTTACAGCACTGGCTCTGTGCAATGTCTTGCAGGACTCCACATCTCAGACCCGGGGAGCAGATCAATTTTTCATCCTGGTAGTAAAAAAGAAAAGGAAAGGCAAACTCCAGAAGACGGTTATTATGCTGCTCTATTGATTGCAAAGAGGTTGCTTAAAGGAGGTACAGAGGATACCTTGTGCTTTCACAAATGTCTGCACAACCTGAGTTATCTGAACCTCAATTATCCCAAACTCCTGTTACCCGAAACGACAGCTTGACCCCCAGTATCTGTTAATTACATGGAAAGTTACTTCTGTGAGCCAAGCCCTCAGTTATTCAACTGTCTTCAAAAGCTCCCAAGACATTCAAAACCTTGTGGTGGTACCACAAACAGAGGTGTTCAACCATGTCCTATATACATGGAAGAGACAAAAACTCAATGGCAATAGATAAAGTGGGGGGATTTTTTAACCTTTGAGACATTAGTGTAACAGAAAGGATGACATGGGTAGAAAGGTGCATTTGATCTGTTCTGAGGTATGTTTTCAATGTCAAATATCTTTAAAAAGTTTCTTTTAGAAGGGAATCTCTTAGCCAAGGGAAGCTCTTGAATAGTATTTTGCCAATTCGTAGGTCATTTCAATTTTTCCATTCTCCAAAGCAGCTTAGAAATCTGAGTTTGATTTACAGCAGCAGAAAACAGCAGCAAAAAATGCCACTTTTGGAGCTGTGCTAATCTCAAAACTAGACAGCTGAGACAGGAAAAGCCATTTAAGTAATGCAGTGTTTTAAAAGGCCTGAGCTGACCTTCATTTCCTGCTAGCAGTGTTCTGTAGTCACTGCCTCTGATTTGCTGTGCGACATAAATAGCATCTGCCCTCAGATTCTTAGCCTGAGCTTAGCAGAAATTACTCTGGTCGTTGGCTGCCTGTGTGATGCACATTCTAAGTGATTAGTTACTGAAGGAGTTGTCATAAATATAAAGGGAAGGGTAACCACCTTTCTGTATACAGTGCTATAAAATCCCTCCTGGCCAGAGGCAACATCCTGTTACCTGTAAAGGGTTAAGAAGTTCAGCTAACCTGGCTGGCACCTGACCCAAAGGACCAATAAGGGAATAAGATACTTTCAAATCTTGGGGTGGGGGGGAAAGGCTTTTGTTTGTGCTCTTTGTTTACGTGCTTGTTCTCTCTTGGAACTGAGAAAGGCCAGATAGAAATCCATCTTCTCCAACCCATCCTAATCCAAGTCTCCAATATTGCAACCAGTATAGGTAAGCCAGCCAGGATTAATTTATCTTTTGTTTTATGTGATTTTTCCCTGTGTTCATAGGGAGGTTTATTCCTGTTTTCTGTAACTTTAAGGTTTTACCCAGAGGGTGATCCTCTGTGTTTTGAATCTGAATACCCTGTAAAGTATTTTCCATCCTGATTTTACAGAGGTGATTCTTTTACCTTTTCTTTAAATAAAATTCTTCTTTTAAGAACTTGATTGATTTTTCATTGTTCTTAAGATCCAAGGGTTTGGGTCTGTGTTCACCTGTACCAATTGGTGAGGATTATTATCAAGCCTTCCCCAGGAAAGGGGGTGTAGGGCTTGGGGGAATATTTTGGGGGAAGAAGTCTCCAAGTGGTCTTTTTCCCTGTTCTTTGTTTAAATCGCTTGGTGGTGGCAGCATACTGTTCAAGGACAAGGCAAAGTTTGTACTTTGGGGAAGTTTTTAACCTAAGCTGGTAAGAATAAGCTTAGGGGAGTTTTCATGCGGGTCCCCACATCTGTACCCTAGAGTTCAGAGTGGGGAAGGAATCCTGACAGGAGTATTTTAGGTCTTCTGCCATTTTTGGCATATATTACAGTGGGAGGCATTGCCTGTTTATTTGGACATGACTGGGGAGGCACTGACTAATGTGAGTGACTCAGGGTGTTCTTGCTCAGCAAACCTGTGCAGCAGTGAAGAATAGAGAACAAAGCAGCATGTGAAGTGGAGAGAGGAGAATAGGCAGATCTCTCAAGGCACCTGACTTGATACAACCCTGCCTTTTTGAGAGCTTGCTTTGCATATTTTGCTGGCTTCCTGGTATTCAGGCAGAAGAATTCCTGTCCATATTTCCTAAAAGAAAGAAAAACAAGGTGAGATCATGAAAAAAAAATCAGATCAAGTCAGAGCAACTGAAGAGCCAGCAAGCGGGGCTTGGGGGCGAAATGAGATAAGGCAGACAAAGATCTCGCCAAATCTCTGACCTATGAGACAGACTCGCTGGACTCCTGGGCAATGAGCAAGTACAAAAGGAAAGAATCAGAGACAGCTTTTTAGGAGGAGCAGGTCAGGACTTCTGAGGAGCCTACAGAATTTTCTGCTGGGGTTGCAGATCCTGCTAGCTCTATATTTGGAAAGAAGAAATCACACATAACCTGGAAGACCCTGCAAACCCTGTGGAAGGGAAAATCTTGACTTTATAGATGTCAGTGAAATTAAACACTTGGAAGGAGGCTGAGGACATTTGGTTTATTTCAGAAGGTAAAAAACAAGCAGGACTGTAGCAAACTTTTATACACCACGCAAGTGGAGTTGACACCAATATTTGTGTTTTAACAACATCTCTCTACATCTCCTCATTTCATCAACTCCTGATTGGTCCTATTGCAGCATCATAAATTCTGTGGCCTCCGGACTGAATCCAGACTGCACACAGCCAATGCAACGCAGCGCATGAAAGCAGAGTTAGATTTTTCCCTGCATGTCGCATACGATTCTTCTATCCAGCAGAATGGAGGGGGAATATGCTGATGCTGGATGAGAGGAGCTGAAAGCCAGACAGAGATGGTGCAAGGAGGAGTTAGTTGCAGACAGTTGAGTGGGGAAACCCGTGTCAGGAATGGGGGCTGGGGAAAGCACTTGGGAGGACAGATGAGTTTGTGGATGGGAGGAAAGAAGAGGTCACAGCACAGGTATCCTATTCATTAGGCCCTGAATCAAAAAAGAACATATATTCATAGGCCAAAAGAGCAGGGTAGACAAACACCAGTCAGGGATGATCTAGGTCAGCAGTTCTCAACCTTTTTCTTGCTGAGGCTCCCTTCAACATGCTCTAAAAACACCGTTCCAGGCTTCAGGGCCAGGGGGCAGCTGCCTTCAGATCCGCGCCTCTCCCAGCTTCAGTGCTGGGTCTTGGGGCACTGGGTTTCAACCGTGGAACTCCACGTCCCCCCTGAAAGGGCTCGCGGACCGTGGCCATTATCGCTGGTCTAGATAATCCTTAGTCCTGCCATGAGTGCAGGGGACTGAACTAGATGACCTCTTGAGGTCCCTTCCAGTCCTATGATTCTACAATTATCCCCATTTTACAGTGGGGAGCTGAGGTGTAACCCACAGGCCAATGTGTGTTACATGACTCCCTCTGTGCCAAACCTACAGAGGGTGTGGGTCTGTTACAACTCTGAGCTACAGACTAGGGCTCTTTAGCTCAACCTGTACAGATTCATGCTTTTATTTCTGGAGTTCCACTGCTCAATCCTTGGTGTCAGCCAAGATAGTAGCCCTCACTGAGGCAGAGAGAGACCAAGTGAGCTGCCCAAGGTCTCACAGGAAGTCAGTGGCACAGCCAAGAATTGAACCCAAGTTTCTATCAAAGCCAAATTTCCAGAAGCCGCACGGACTGCATAGGCCACCATATCCACGGCTTTGAGCATCAGCTCAATGACTGCAGTGTGCGAGTGATAGCATAACTACACGTTATAGCAGAGCTGCTGGCCAAGACAATCAGATTATTTTTAGGTGGACCAATTTCCCTAAAAACACAAAGTATGAATCCTAGGGAAAACAATAGGGCATGGGGGACTGGCTACGGTTTCCTGCTTTATTCCACACTGCCCAGCAGAGGAAAGAGTTATCATTAAAGGCCTCTCCTGGCCCAAGCATGAGGACAGCTGAGCTTCATATTTTTGTTTTCCTCCTCATTTGGATGGAAGCTTGTGTCATTCTCTAGCCCTACTGCAGTATGTGTCTGATCCAAAACCAGTGAGAGGTGGCTGTTGATTTTAAAGGCAGCCATATCGAGCCTTAGATTCCTTTTAAGAAAAAGCATATTAAATTAATAGACAGCACAATCAGCGAGTCCTCAGCATTTTCAACACATTTCCAAAGAATGGCATTTCCCCCAAGTTCTAGACACAATCCAAAGCAGTCAGCAAAAAGAAGTTAATAAAATTTTTCATATGACTTTTACATGGTGTCAAATGTTAGCCAATTTGCCATCTGGGATGTTAATAATGCAACTAGTGCTAAAGGTTGCCTTGCTCTCAATAAGCCACAGGAACTCATCAAGTTCATTAGACTCACATATTCCGTCCCCCGTCCTTCCTCTCCCCTTAAAATAAGGAGGGGGAAACCCTGCAGTCTTCTTTTGCACAAAACTGTAGGGCTTTGGCAAGGTTTTTTAAAATAATTTAATTAGCCCACTCAGATTTCACTGAATCAGGAATATTCTTGTGACAATAATGTCCCTAACCTGCTGAGTATCAGGAGGTGGAAAAGAAAAAGCTGTCATATTAACGCAGCCTCAGCGAAAAGTCTCAGGTGGTTGGAAAATATCATTTAGTCAAATTATCCTTTCTGCAGGATTTATTTTTTTTTGAAGCACATGAAAAGGAAATAAATCACAGTTTTCATCTTGCCAGAAGCCTGGTTCTCAATCCGTTGCTGCCTCTGACCACGCAAGTGACTTCACATGACCCCAAACTCAGAAACCTTGGTGGCTGGATCCCATAATCTTTTGTGAACACAGCTCATAATCCTTTGCATATAGCAAAAAAGAAACAAATTACAGTAAACAACCCTATTTTATAGCAAGGCTTTATTCAAAGTCTAATGCAAAATATCGTTCCATCAGTCACTGAATACATACTGAATTTAGCAAGCAGAAATATTATTCATTGATTGATATATTATCCTTCCACTGCCAAAGCATCTAGGCATTTTACATAGTTGAAAACAAAACATTAATCTCTGTCAATGAAAAATCAATGGGAATTGGGCACCTTATTACTTTGGAAAGTCCCACCCTTTAACCATTTATAAGAATAAATCACATTTAAAAAGAAATGTATCTCTATTAACAAATTGTATCTATTCGATCGTACCGCTTGTTCGCTGAACGTTGTAGATCATTTGTCTTCTTGGATTCCTTTGGGACAAGGACTATGACCTTGTGTGTGTTTGTACAGCTCCCTGGAGACCTGGTTTTGATTAGGCCCTTGGGGCACTACTGCACTAGAAATAAAATAACCAAAGTGTGCATGAAAAAAATCTGTAACACAGATTGGACCCCATTCTCTACTGCCCTGCACCTGGTGTACAGTGCAAAGTGTGTGTGAAACCCAACCAAGTGAGGATAGTAGAATTTCACACCCATTGGGCACTGATGAGAATAACTACCCAGGATGCGGTCAATGGAGAATCAGGCCCATTATGTGAAAGTTGCACACAACAGCAAGTCAAATGAAGTTGACATTTTAAGTAACAACAACTATGGAACAAAAAATCAAACAATAAGCCTTCCATAACCTGTTATTGGCGGAGTTATTCCACTCCTCACAATGTTGCAGCTTCTGAGAGTGCTAGGAACATTTGTCAAAATCACATTTGCTCTTTGGTTGGTACCAGTTCAGCAATTTAGATACAGATCTCTGAGCAATTACTTTCATATCTTTAAAAAATTGTTCACAACATTCTGGATAGATTTTTTTCATAGGCAATTGATTACTGCGGAAATCAGAGGATAATGTCAGAGGCATCTGAGAAGCTCAGCAGAATGGACATTTTTCTTCTGTTGGATCCTACTGCTGGTCATTAATAAATGGACCGAGAACTTTTCAAACCTCTTTCAGAGCCAACTAACTCCATGTGTTTGCCTACTTGGTCAGAGTTTGAGTGCTTCTATTACTATGTTGAGCCATGCTGGTGAGATGAGCAGGGTCACCATCCCCAGGAAGGTGGCTGGAAGTATGATACTTGTGTAAGCACGTAGCAGCCTATGTAGGAGCACAGCACTGCCATCCTGGTGTACATAGGAGTGGACCACAAACCCACATATGCATACTCCATGTTCTACAGCTATGAAAGCCAGACTGGTTGGATGCAGTGGGGGGGGGGGGAGGGTGGTGTCTCAACTCTCTCTCTCCATGCTGGGAGGCATAATTTAATTACAATCAGGCAATATCTTTGATTTTCCATCTATCATCTACAGTTGCTAGCTGGTAAGTGCCCCAGTGTTCCCATGGACTTCCCATAATTTTTTTCTTTATAGTCACGAGTTGGGAGATGTAAAGCTTCTTGAGCCTAGGATGCCAGCTTGAATGCAGCCCAAGACTGTAGTGACCAAACCATGTGACAATCTGATGCTTTCTCCGCCTCCCCACCCTCAGCTTAATTATACCCAGTGTTCTAAACTTATCACCCCAAATGGCACTAATTGACCCGGGACGGGTGTCAAAGCAGAGATCCGTTATCAATGGGCCTAAAGCTCATCCTTAGAGAGACAGTCCTGTAACAGGGCGGTGAGGGAAGACTGGGCTTCCTACTGCTCATGCTGCATTTACCCTGTGGATAAAGAGAGGACTTCATCTTGAGGGGCTGTCAAAGCAGCAGCAACTCCACTCACAAGTACTAAAATCACACCCGGCCTCTCTCCCTCATACAGGGGACCCTCACTTGCATTAAACAGTTCCCATTGTATAGAAATCATTTTCATTTCACACCTTTCAGGCAGGGACCCTCAGGTCTGTGAAGTTAAAGGCCACATCCCCGTTCATTCTGTCCTACAGGAATCAGGAACGATAGGCAGGAGGACATGCAAACCCATCCCTAAGGAGAAAAGACAGCACAGCCATGAACTTACAACCCAGTAAGATCACAGTGTAGAACTGCATCCAAACAGAATGGCTGGTTATTATTTTAACTCTGCAATTGCTGCTTGGGCCAAGGGAAGCGATGTGGACACTTCCCAGCTGAGAAAGTAATGCCTCAGAAGGACAGATATAGTTGAGGATGTCACAAGTGGAAGGCATATGAAAGCGCTTGTCACCACAGCTTCATCCCTCCTGCTGGACACTGTCAATAGTGAGGAATTTGTTTACAGCTTCACCCCCTCACCAGGACAAGATGTTGCACTTACCTTAACGTGCAATCCCCATAATGCAAGTAAATTTACCTCAACAAAACTTCCAGTAGCCGCGAGGCACAGAGAAGCCACACAGTTCAAACCAAATAATATTGTTGACGGTGCTTTCTCTTGACAAATGCTGTCTCATATGGTCACATTAAACCTCCTCCACTACAGTGTTGTATTTCAATGCACAAACATCAAGGGTTAACAGCATCTTGGTCTGTTGTGAAGAGATGTTTCCCAGCAGCTCCTTTGTATCCAATCCCACTTCCTTCTGATCTAGCTAGATCTGAATCCTTCAGAGATCTCAACCTGCTATTGCAATAGTGCCTTAAAGCCACTGTTCTCCACCAGCTACATTTGACTCACAAGCTCGTACAGGAATGGGGGAGGACAGGGACACCTTTCTTCCTTCTGGGAGAAAGAGGGCGGCAGATGTACTAAAAATAAATGCTAACTGCAAAGACAGAAGCACTGGAAGAAATGGTCTTTGACTCCTCACCCACTTCAGCTCAGTTCATTTCCAGAGGCAGCCAGGCTCTCATACATCCCTGCCCATCTAGCATTGCCCCAGAACATCTTCCCCCTCTCCTCCCATCCCATTCTAATATGTAGCATATCCTCCCCCGCTCCCCTCACCGTCTGCTGCACCTTTAATTTCCAAAGGCTTCCAGCTAGAGGATTTCAACCACCTGCCTTGCTGACATGTCCCTGCATCCAACGATTTATCCCCTCCAAGTTGAAATCCCTCACTCAGCTAATTCTTGCTCATATCAACATGCTGCCTTGTGCTCAGTGAAACGAAGGCTTGATATAGGCAGTATGCACATCCCACACAGATAAACTCATCCATGCAACAACTGATCACAAGAAATGACACACCTCCCTTGTGCCATGGAGTGGTTCAGGCAGGATTTGCTGTATCAGTGAAAGGGAAAAGGTCACGTGCATACAAGAGAAGCAGAAAGGAGCAAGATCACCAAGTGACCTTTGCAGTCGCACAGCTCAGTTACTAGGGCAGTCAAGAGAGACAAAGGGCAAGGAAGGAAGGAAGGAAGGAAGGAAAGAAGAAGGCTCCAGATCACTGAGTTGAGAGACAAGGGATCAGACTGGCCACAGCGAGAGTTTGTCTAGGTGAGCAAGATTTCAAACCCCTTTAGTTTGAGCAGAGCAGAAGGCCGTGTGGAGGCTCGCCTTGCTATCTAAACCAGGCATGTTTCAGGTTTATTTAAGTTGATTAGGAACTTATTTAAGCTAAAGCAGAGCGAGCCATTCTTAAACTGAAATATGTGTCCCCCAGAGGAGGTTGCCCCTATTTACCTGTACAGCTAAAAACAGGGCAACTTTCCCATGTAGACTAGGCCTTAAAAATGTTTTTCTCCCCATGCTGCAGCCTCAGATCTAAGGGACCTAGGTCTAAATTGCACAGGAACTTGCTCTTCCAGCCCCTTACACACCATGGGACTCACCAGACAGACCTCCCCATCATGGTGTCTCCATCTCCAGCCTATCCTCCTCTGGCTCCTGCAGGCCACAGCTGTCATTAGAAGCTCTTTCCTAGTGATCTCCCCTGCAGCCCACTTGGCTACACCTGTCAGATGTACACCTTGTCCAGCCCCGTAGTATCATTGTGCAGTGCCTGTGATTGACAGACTGAGTGCCAGGGATGCTGGGCCATTGATATCAGCTGGAACACAAAGACCTTTGTGCTTGTACCTGTTGGCACAGACACCACTTACGGGGGGTGGGGAGGGCACACAAGGCAGTGCAGATGCACGCACGGGGCAAAGGCAGCGAGAGGAGGCAGTGGGCTGCCGTGTGCCGCGGTGGGGCAGGAGCGGCTCCTACATCACCCACCTCAGTCAAATCACACGGGGAGCAGCATGTAAAAAGCAGAGCCCCTCTGCCTTACCAGCCTCCCCGACGATGCCCAGGATGCCTGGTCCAACTCCATGCCCCAGAGCCAGGGGAATCTCGCTGCAGCTGGGTTTTCCTAAAAGAGCCATTCGTTTTGCAGGTGTACGCCTGGTGAGGTTGCCTGACTCCGCTGCCAAGTCACCAGCCTATTTCTGCCTCGGGCAGTGGGTTTCAACCCCCATCCTGTGACTGCAGTGCCTACAATGCCTTATCTCAGCGTCTGGGTCCTGCCTCTCTCTTCCATCCCCCTTTCAGTCAGCTGAGCCTAGCAAACAGGAGATGAGTGGCTGCGGGGGATCACAGGCAGTTCAAGGAGGCGGCAGCCCAGGAGGGGGCGTGGGTGGTGGCAGGAAGTCACAGAGGGGAGGGAGACGCAGTTACTGCACAGAGGCCTGGCCCTGCTCTCCCGGGCAGCAGAGATGAACGTTTGCAGGCACCTGTAAGTTCTACAGAAACCACTCTGAGTCCTGGGTGTGAGAAGCAGCACAAGGAAAGGAGCAACCTGCTGCAGAATGTAGAGAGTCTGTCAAACGTTCCTGGCCTGGAATCCAAGGGGTTTTTAATGTTCTGGAGCGGATCACCTGCAGGCAGCACGGTCTGTGCTGTAAATAAACTCAGAGACTGAGGGCAGCGTGAAATCTGCCACCGTTTCCTTCCTGTGCCCTCCATGCAGACCCACAGCTGTTCTGGCCAGACCATGAAAGTGGCAGAGGCTGGGAATAGCCACATATACATTTCCAAGGCCCTCCACTTCTCTATAGTGATGCAGACATGAAAGTAGAAGGGAGTACACGCTGGTGATGCATAAAGGAAATGATGTGGTCCCCTTCCTGTATTGCTCTGGTCTTTGGTCTCCTCTTAGATGTCAGACAATGGGTGAACTCAGTCAAGGTAGTTAGCCTGCATGATTAATTAGATAATAAATTACTTACTGTACAACTTATTCTTAATCATCAACTCTCTTTATAATCATTAGCCAGAGTCCTCCCAGCATCCCTGTGAGGTGGGCATTACTATTCCCATTTCATCAATGGGCAAATCAAGGCACAGAGATTAAATGACTCATCTCCGAGGAATTCAGTAGCAGATCCAGCACCAGAACACAGTAGGTCCTGACTCCTGGTCCCATGATCAGTCCAATAGAGCTTGGACCAAACCTCTCTCTCCAACTGGGCCCACACTGACTAGTGATGCCAGTCATCCACCTCTCACCTCATGAGAATTAGGGTGACCTGAAGTCCCTGTTAAATGCCAGCAACAGGGACCCCAAGGGATGGGAATTCCACCAATTAAACTCGCCTCACTTGCTTAGCTGGAGTCATCAAGCAACTCCCCACCACAAGCTGAAATCTGACGTGGTTCTGAGCCAGGAAGGGAGTCCCCAGCAGGAACAGGAATGGAACTGTTCAGTCAGGGCTTTTTTCTAACGTCCTCAGAACCCACCTTTGCTCGTAGTTAGTTGAAACAATAGTAAAGAATAGAATTGTCAGACACATAGAAGAACATAAATTGTTGCGCAAAAGGCAACATGGTGTCTGTAAAGGGAGATCATGTCTTACTAATCTATTAGAGTTCTTTGAGGGGGTCAACAAACATGTGGACAAGGGGGATCCAGTGGACATACAGTGGAAATCCAGGTTTCAGAGTAACAGCCGTGTTAGTCTGTATTCGCAAAAAGAAAAGGAGTACTTGTGGCACCTTAGAGACTAACCAATTTATTTGAGCATAAGCTTTCGTGAGCTACAGCTCACTTTCACGAAAGCTTATGCTCAAATAAATTGGTTAGTCTCTAAGGTGCCACAAGTACTCCTTTTTTTTTAGTGGAAATCCAGTGTACTTAGATTTCCAGAAAGCCTTTGACAAGGTCCCTCACCAAAGGCTCTTATATAAATTAAGTTGTCATGGGATAAGAGGGAAGATCCTTTCATGGTTAAAAGACAGGGAACAAAGGGTAGGAATAAATGGTAAATTTTCAGAATGGAGAGAGGTAACTAGTGGTGTTCCCCAAGGGTCAGTCCTAGGACCAATCCTATTCAACTTATTCATAAATGATCTGGAGAAAGTGGTAAACAGTGAGGTGGCAAAGTTTTCAGACAATACTAAACTGCTCAAGATAGTTAAGACCAAAGCAGACTGTGAAGAACTTCAAAAAGATCTCACAAAACTAAGTGATTGGGCAACAAAATGGCAAATGAAATTTAATGTGGATAAATGTAAAGTAATGCACTCTGGAAAAATAACCCCAACTATACATACAATATGATGGGGGCTAATTTAGTTACAACTAATCAGGAAAGAGATTGTGGATAGTTCTCTGAAGACGTCCACGCAGTGTGCAGCGGCAGTCAAAAAAGCGAACGGGATGTTAGGAATCATTAAAAAAGGGATAGAGAATATGACGGAGAATATCTTATTGTCCTTATATAAATCCATGGTACGCCCACATCTTGAATACTACATACAGATGTGGTCCCCTCATCTCAAAAAAGATATACTGGCATTAGAAAAGGTTCAGAAAAGGGCAACTAAAATGATTAGGAGTTTGGAACGGGTCCCATATGAGGAGAGATTAAAGAGGATAGGACTTTTTAGCTTCAAAAAGAGGAGACTAAAGGGGGATATGATAGAGGTATATAACATCATGAGTGGTGTGGAGAAAGTGAATAAGAAAAAGTTATTTACTTGTTTCCATAATATAAGAATTAGGGGCCACCAAATGAAATTAATGGGCAGCAGATTTAAAACAAATAAAAGGAAGTTCTTCTTCACTCAGTGCACAGCCAACCCGTGGAACTCCTTGGCTAAGGAGGTTGTGAAGGCTAGGACTATAACAGGGTTTAAAAGACAACTGGATAAATTCATGGAGGGTAAGTCCATTAATGGCTATTAGCCATGATGGATAAGGAATGGTGTCCCTAGCCTATGTTTGTCAGAGGGTGGAGATTGATGGCAGGAGAGAGATCACTTGATCCTTACCTGTTAAATTCACTCCCTCTGGGGCACGTGGGATTGGCCACTGTTGGTAGACAGGATACTGGGCTGGATGGACCTTTGGTCTGACCCAGTATGGTCATTCTTATGTTCTCTCACTTGCCCTTTGCTAGCATGCAGCTGAAAACATGGATCGGCGAGGAGGTAGCTGTTGGCAGGGTTTGAAATAAAGCTGAGGGCATTTCCGGTAGAACTGAGGATGATTTGGCAAAAGGAACTAACTAAACATTATCACCTTTCCCAGCCTCAGAATGGATTGCACAGCACATTAGCAGCTGAAAACTTGCCTTGTATTTTTGCCTGGCCTTGACATCCAGCTTAGCCCTGATATGCCTGCTACACTGGTATGACATCCCAGAAGGCATCATGCTGAAAATATCACATTGCTATGGAATGGGGCAGAATCATGGATGGTGGTGACCCATGGGGGCATGGGGCAGGTAAGTGGGATACTAAAAATTGTGCAGAAGTGGGCACACACACTTTAAAAAGACACTTGCCTGATCCCTCCAGGGCTGGCTCTGATTCATGAGATCCATGGTTGATATGACCTTGCAATGTGATGCATGCTAGGAAATCACATCAAGTGGGAGAGTGGCTTGCTGAGGAGTGAATAGATGTCATGCACTGAGAAGGAGGGTGGAAGAGGTGAGCTTTCAGTTGGTAAGGTGTAGCCTCATCAGTGGGAGCAGCATTCAGCACATACTGTGAAAGATGATGGAAATGTGTTAATTCCATTTGCAGGTCACTTGAAAAGGCCTTATTCCTCTGGCATCTGGCAGGATATTACTCTGCCTAGGCACAAGCTAAAACTCAGACACAAACCTAGCAGAAGAACAGTTACTCTAGTACCAGAAGCATTCCCCCTCCTACATTCTGGGGGGCTGCACAAATCTTTCTCACTTGAAAGTTTTCGCCTTCAAGATAGCAGCTGAACTCAAGATGTTGATCCGTTATGGGCACATGAGCTGTGTGACATGCTAAAAGAGTTACCTTTTCTGTAACTGGTGTTCATCGAGATGTGTTGCTCATGTCTATTCCATAATAGGTGTGTGTGCTCGTCACATGCACCGGTACCAGAAGTTTTTCCCCTAGCAGTACCCGCAGGGGGGGAGCGCCCCTCTCCCCCCCCGCGACACCTGGAGCGGCGCCTGCCTGGCATGGTATAAGGGGGGCTGTGCTCCCCCCACCCTCAGTTCCTTCTTGCCAGACAACTCGGACAGAGGGGAAGGAGGGTGGGATGTGGAATAGACATGAGCAACACATCTCGAAGAACACCAGTTATGGAAAAGGTAACTGTCTTTTTTTCTTCGAGTGATTGCTCATGTGTATTCCACAATAGGTGATTCCAAGCTACATCTGTTGGAGGTGGGTAGGAGTTCACAAGTTCTCAGGACAGAGGAACACCCTGCCAAACCCGGCGTCATCCCTGGCCTTGGAGACGATCGCATAGCGCGAGGTGAACATGTGAACCGAAGACCACGTGGCGGCCCTACAAATGTCCCGGATGGGGACATGGGCCATGAAAGCAGCCAACAAGGCCTGTGCCTGAGTCAAGTGTGCCCTCACAATAGGTGGCAGGGGGGGGACACCCACCAGCTCATCACAGGAGCAGATGCACGAAGTGATCTGCTTAGAAAGCCACTAAGTAGAAATCAGCTGGCCCCTCGCACACTCAGCCAAGGTGACAAACAGTTGCGAGGACTTTCTGAACGGCTTCGTCCACTCGAGGTAGAAAGCCAGAGCCCGCTGCACATCAAGTGTGTGGAGACGGCATTCCTCACTAGTCGCGTGAGTCTTGGGGCAGAGGACTGGTAGAAAAATGTCCTGACCTATGTGGTAGGCGGAGACCACCTTCGGGAGGAACGCAGGGTGTGGGCAGAGCTGGCCCTTGTCTTTATGAAAGGTCAGGGCCCTGAGCTCCGAGACTCGCCTCGCCGACATGATTGCAACCAGGAAGGCCATCTTCCATGAGAGGTGAGACCAGAAGCACATGGCCAGTGGTTCAAACGGGGTCCTCGTGAGATGAGCCAACACCAGGTTTAGGTCCCACTGCGGGACCAGGAGTCTAGAATATGGAAAAAGACTGTCCAAACCCTTAAGGAGCCCTCCAGTCATAGCATGGGAAAATGCCGTGTGTCTTGCACTAGCAGATGGAAGGCTGATATGGCTGGCAGGTGCACCTTGACTGACGAGGGTGCCAGGCCCTGGGCCCTCAGGTGGAGGAGGTAATCAAGGATAAGCTGGATTGGGGCGGCCACCGGGGAG